TGAAATAAAATAAAAATAAATAAATTAGTACATGCACAAAGACATTTGAAACATAATATGTACATGAATATTATAACCTAGATTAAAATGAAAACATGCAAGCATAGTAGACCAAAATATGAAAATTTCAAAAAAACTAAATGTAAAGAAATAAATAATCACATCACAAATTAATAAGTGAAATTAACCAATTAATCAAAAACAATTAACAGTGTAAAAATGACCAAAATATAAAAAAGGATGAAATTTAAAATTCAAAATAAAAAAAACTGCAACTCACTTAGGGACTGAAATAGAAGAAAATAAAATACCATAAAACTAATAGAAACTTAATCAAAGATAAAATAACAGAAAAACGGGGACTAAAATGAACTAGTATAAACAAGTACTGCTTTAGTATAAATAAAATAAACTACAATGGCACGGGCTTAAATATATACATAAACACACTTGTATGCAAAAGAGGACTAAATTGTAATACAGGTAAACATAAGATGCTTAAAACGAAAACATAGCAAAATCATAAAACAACATGAACAAAATGACTTAAAACGAAACAATAACAAATTAAGCTTCTTAATCATAAATAAGTTAAAATACAATGGCCTACGTATCCATATAAACATAAACGTATATAAATAGAAATTTAGGACTAAAATAAAATATAAACAAACATGAGGCCCGAAGTCAAAGATTTCAAAATTTCATTAATGACCAGTTACAAAACATTACAAACGTTGGGGACTTAAACTGAGATTTACTCCTTTATGCAAAAATGCCTAGCCTCCCCTTGTTGAAACGGTGTCGCACAACAAATGGTATTTAACCATCTTTATAGGGTTGTAAGAACCCTAAAATCATTTGCATATCTCAAACCGAAAAACAAATGAGAGAAACTCTCTCCCTCAAACCCACGAGCAGCGCCCTCATGGCGTTTCCACCGTTGTTCTCGGTGGTTAACACACAAAATAACCACCCCAAATTACTTTCTTGCTTCCTATAACCTAAACCCCGAAAAATCTCAACCTAAAAATCTCAAAACAAAGGGATTAAGACGGATTGGCTGGTCTCAAAGGTAAGGCTTTTTGGTTTCTGTTTTTTGGTTTTATCGGTTTAAAAACTTTTTCTTCTCGGTTTTCTTTCAAAAAATTCTATCTCCCTTTTTCTCTGAAAAACCCGAATGAATCCTCATTTTCCCTCCGTTCTGTTTTTATTTCCCTTTTCTGTGATGGATTTGATGATGATATCTAGAATAGGGGTATGGGTCTCATTGATTTTGCAGGATTAAATCCCGTAAAAATTGGGATTTAGGTTATATTTTATTTGGGGTTTTCAGATTTAGGCTATTGTATATGATAAGTTGATATTGATTTGGTTTCTGTTGATTGATTTTTCATTGTTTCTATCACTGTTCGGCCTCTGTTAATGATGACGGCGACGATGAGATGTACCGGCAGCAGCGACGACGGCGGTGGGGAGTGCAACTTGGCTTGAGCGGCGGCGGCGTTGGAAACCATTTAGGGCTTAGAAACCCTAATATGTTGGGCTTCTGGGTTGATGGGTCACACGAGTGGGCCTTGGTGTATTGGGCTTGTCTGTAATTTAGGCTGCCCATTAAGCCTACAAAAAATGTAAATACATATTAAATAATAATAATATAATAATAATATAAAAACGACAATAATAGTAATAAATTAAAATAGAAAAGACCCGAACAAAAACGGAGTTTACAGGAATATTCTTGAAAGTTCTTAAAGAAACAAAAAGATAAACTTGTTCATTAAAGAAGGGGAAAGTTGAAGTAGCTATTAGAGAATCCATCACTGGAATAAGATATTTTTTTTATTTTCACAAAACCTTATGTAAAATTAGGCCATACACAAAGAAAGTTTCTTTTTCTTCAATTTCTTTTTCTTTTTGTGAAAGGAAAAAGGTAGAAATATTCAAATATTTAGGATTGGGCTGAAAACTTGTGACAAGAACCACTGTTGCACCTTGTCTGGTTACAGAATAAAATTTTTTCATCAGCACACCCTTTTTCTGTTGGGCAATGTATGTTGTTAGAAACAAAGGATAAATAATAATTAATATAAACTGCAACTTGTTTCTAGTTCATTTATGTAATCATCCTATTGCCAGTATATACAATTATATAAACAATCAGCACAATCAAATAGTAGCTGCAAAAAATATCTAAATATTTCATGATGCCAATAGTGTCAAACCAAATATTCATATGTATCAATCTGTTACCATGGCATAACTTGTGACAGGGAAAGAAAAAAAAGGCAAAAGCATGATCAAACTAAGAAAATGCATGCTTCAGTAATCCTTTCAGGCATGTTACTGTTAGATAGTGGAAAGAAATGAAATTCAAGTTTTAACCTCAGCCAGCCAAGCCGTTCTTTGAGATCCTTCCTCACAAACTCTTGGGAATGATCAATGTTTGGAGCAGCATGGAAATATCTCCACTACTTTTGTTGCCCCGGCCCTGTATGAAAAATACAAGTTCATACCCTCCGGAACATCAATATTACAGATGCAGAAAGTTCACTCAAAACATTGCACCATATCAAGCATAAAATAAGCACTATTCTTCAGGTCTAGATTGAAAATTTGGAGAACAAGCATAAACACGGACATGAAACTAGATGGATAATGTTCAGCCTATAACAATCAAAATAATTGGTAACCCGTATAGGAATTCGTGCAACAACTCAGTTGTATGGAAACTAAGGAATTTAAGATGTGCTATCTATCAACCTCTTAAGTGCCTTATGTTTCTCAAAAGCTTCCAGCACAAAAGAAAACATCAATACCTGAAAATGAGGATCATCACCACCCACTGCACGATCATCCCAATTCAAGCGACCTCCAAAAATATTCCATATACCGTTCTGATTTTTAAAGTGTGCACAACGGTGATTCAATATAACATCACCGAGAACTTTCAGACCCACTTCATGGAGACTCTTCACAAGTTCTTTCAGCTCATCAATAGTTCCATATCTGATAAACCAAGAAAATTTACACAATGTTTTGCTTTAGACCCTTTGAGGAGCATGTAAAAGAGAAGGTCGAAATCTGATACTTGGAACCAACATTATATGAACTACTGGAGCAAACATAAAAAAACACAAAGTTTCATCACTTCTTTTCCTGAACAAAGATCCTAGTTATAACTATTATGTTATAATAAAAAAGACTTATGTAAAAGAAATTGAAAATTCATCGTTGCAAGTTTCAGCTTCTATGACCTATTCCAAGCACCAAATGATAGACCCCGCAAGATTCATTGTCTACTAGCTTGTAATGTATACCTGGAATTTAGATTATACAAGTCCTTTGGCATGTATCCTTCAGGTGAGACAGACTCTGCTGGTGGTGGTAGCCAAATCACAGTAAACCCAAGTGAAGATATTTCTGAAGCTTTTTCTTTGAGTTCCATATACCATCGTCCAGATTTATGAGATTCCCAGTTGAAACCTTGGCACAATATTTCAAAACCTGTGCCTGTTCCAGAGGATATTTTAACAGTGGGTTTTGTTGTACCAGTATCAGTTTCTGAAACAACTTCCTCGGGAAAAATTGCAATGGAGCTTCGGAAGATGCAATAAGCTTCTGCAGCTAGCTGTTCAATTTCTTGAAGAATGCTTTCTTGTGCTTCCTTTGTTTGGGTCTTCTGAGTCTTCTCAGAGCTAAGGCCACTAACCAAGTTTCGTATCTCATTGATGATACAATCAGACTTACTAGAAATTTCTTCACTTGTACTCTCAGATTGGCCATGCTGACCCAGAACACTACATGCAGCAGAGAGAGGAACATAGAAATCATTTTCTTTAAATTTCAACCAAGTGTCATCGTCCAGCTTGAGAACAAAAAGAAATCCATAAACTTCTTCATCTAAAGTAATCAAAACTCGATACATTTATTATTTGAAATAACCTCTTTCTTTGCTTAGTTTTTTTTAACCGAAAATAATAATTTTCCGTCACTTACTTTTCCTTTCGACACAATTAATTGAACGTTCCACTCATAAACGAAATGGAAATTTGCTTACTTTATACTGCTGCTTTGGGATTTTGCTCTTTACGTACGGCCAAAGAGTACAGGTTAATAGTTTTTTTAGTTAATTAGCCATACATCTTCAAATTATAATCATCGTTTTAAAGTAGTTTTTAAATTTTTAAACATTTTAATTTCATATCTAAATTATGATTCACGTTTTAAATTAATCCTATTTTTTTTCATTTTTTAATTGATCGCAATGATCGGTTGTGAAAAGGTTTATCGAAAGGACAGTGTTTGAATCCTGATTTTCAAACCATTGTTTCTATTTCCACCTAATCATTAGTCCAATAATATGAGGACACTTGTCACTGAAACATAGTAACAAGTGTCGGTGACGGAATTCTATGGATAACCAAAACGAAAATAGAATAGAAACCCTAGCGGTCTTTGCAAGTTTTTAAATTTAAGCGACAAAATTTAAAAATATTGATGGATTTGGTGACCACTATGCACTTTACCCTTAAAGAAAACTTTAAAAAAGATAAATTCAATCATATTAGAACAAAAAAACTTATGTGGAAGCATAGTATACTGACACGTCGACAATGCTTTTAATTAAAAATCGTGTAAACTCCAGAGTTATAACATAATTATGATTAAATGAAAATTAATTAAATTAATTTATTAGCGGAAGAATTTCAATTGATACTGTAATTAGCAGTCGGTAAAGATGCGTAGAAGCAAAGCTAAAACGTGGGCTCCGGCTTTGCCTCGTGGCTTACATTTCTCTCCTCAAAAAGAATATTCATTGTCTCTCTTGATTCTTACTGTCTACACGTTTTGAGCCCATTGTATGATTAATGTTTAATTAATTAGTCTTAATTATAAACAAACAAGACGCGAATGAGAAAAATGAGACCGTGGCAATGAGATTCGACGGGCAATAAAGTGCTACTTGATGCCAACGTATTCTGACTAGAAAAAAGCCCGAGAAACAGAGACCGGACGGACTATAAATAATGCCTTAAGCATCCAACTTTCACGGTCAACAATCTCATAAAACAAATTTCATTGTATTTCCCTGTATCGTTCAAAGTTTTATTCTGAGGAGGATGAGTGTGGAAGTGTTGGACAGTGCCACCATAGTTGACTTCGTCGAAGACGAGGAAGCATTCACCGTCTCGATAACGGACCGGTTTGCTCGCCTGGACGCCGACCGTGACGGGCTGCTTTCTTTCGCGGAGCTGTTGAGGGAATTACAGAGCTTGAGGGTGGTGGAGACTCACTTCGGCGTCGACGTCGAAACGGACCCGAGGGAGCTGGCTCGCGTTCACGAGTTGCTGTTCGTGCAGTTCGATCACGACTCGAGCGGGAAGGTGGACTTGGAGGAGTTCAAGTCGGAGACCAAGCGGATGATGCTTGCTGTGGCGAGCGGGATGGGGTTCCTGCCGGTTCAAATGGTGTTGGAAGAGGGCAGCCTCTTGAAGATAGCCGTGGAACGTGAATCCACCAAGCTTGCTGCTTGAATCCTTGATTTCTTACAAGTGTTGAGCTGGTTTATGATTTTTGTTTTGTTTAGTGCTGAGTAAATGGGGTGAAGTCTTTGTTTCATGAAACAACAAATAATTTCATTTCAAATATTAAATGCAAAATTAAGTTCTGTTGGGGTTATAATACAAGTTCATAAATTATGTTAACAACCTCAAATATATTATCTTAGGACATCATTGATATCGTTGAATTTAGTTGGATTTTTGGTCATCTGAATTTGATTCGAAAAATCAATTTCTTATGCCTATACTTAATGCAATCCATATTTAAAAGTGTTTCATCTTATCTAAAACTTAATACATGTTTTTTAAGTCAAAATTTGTATTTGATTCAATCCAATCCGACACGATCTATATATATTTATATATAATTCATTTTTATTACCTAAAATAAGGAGCTAACTAAAAATAAAAAAAGAGTTTGGGTCTGAAGAACCTTTTAGGGTGGAATAAAGCTTTTGTTTGATATTGATTAAGAAGATTTTGGCAGGTGAGGGTTCTCTTTGGGTGGCCTGGATTGGGGCTTACATGTTGAAGGGGATGATTTTAGGTTTGTTGATTATAAGCATCAGTTCAGTTGGGTGATAAGGAGAGACAAGGTAGCTTGGCACAGACTTCTTTGGTTCCTTGATCATATTCCAAAGCATTTGATTATTACTTGGATGGTTTGTTTGGATAGATTATCGACTGAAGATAGACTTGCACAATTTAGGATGGTTTCGGATGAGGTTTGTGATTTGTATGGGGATGAGATGGAGAAGAGGAATCACTTGTTTGTTGAGTGTTCTCTTTCGTGCAATGTTTGACAGGGTATCTGTCGCAACCGCCTTGCGGGTGGGCCCAAAATTGAATTCGACTTGAAATAAAATATTGGGAGTCGCCATCAATAATTTATTTTTCGTAAAAAATATGGTTGATTGGATACCATCTTACCTGATCCGCGTTTTACCAGAAATATGTCGGATTCGGGAGTCAGTTACAGTCAAGGAAGGATTAGCACCCTTGAACTGCCCTTTCGGTAGCATTTAATTTGTCCGTTGTCTTAATTGCGAAAATTGAAATTGAAATTAAAATTTAGAGATTCGATTCAAATTACTTACCTTTGATTGATTAAAATTATCCTAAAAAATATCATAAATAAAGTTAAAAAATAAAATAAATAAAAACAAAGAGTTAGTATTAAAATTGAAATAAAAGAGTAAATAAAAGGAATGAAAGAAAATTCAAACAAAAAAATTAAATTGGAAATAATTAAAATTCACAGGTCAAATTAATTCTATGAATAAGCTGCAAGAGAAAAACAGAAACTTAATGGATTAAAATAGTGAATTTACCAGAAATTATATATTGGAAACAAAATATTTAACCCAAAGCATGTTCAAGAGCAACAAAAAAATGACTAAACGTAAATAAATAAATAAAATATCAAAATCAAATGATAAAATAACTGATACTACGGGGCCTAAATTAAAATAAATGCAAACAGGGTGTTATAAATAAAATACCATAAAACATATAAATGACTAAAACATAATATGTAGCCTAAATAGAAATAAACAACAAAAGGTGAATCTAGTGACCTAAATAAAACAAGGCAAAAATATCAAGGACCTAAGAGAAATTTCCCACGATATAATGCTCCAAACGTTACCTAGGCTAAAGACAATGACCCAAACAATGATTTAGCCTTAACTTAATGACAGAATAATATGTATTTCATAAATTTGGAGTACCTATGCGTGATTATACCATGAATTAGTAATAAAAGCATGAAGTATCTTAGAATCTAAGGACCTAGTGCCAAATTTACCCAAAAATTCAATAAAACACATAATTCCTCACCTTTATTATTTCCAGTACACGATGAACCCAAAACCAAAATCAACTTTCCATTTCCCTATTTTCATTCTGTTCGATGGTTTTAAAACCCCAGCCTTCTATCTATTTTCCTTCACTCTACACGACAGAGCAGCCACGGTGACTAACTCTCAAAGGTTCCCTTTTTTATTTTTTGGTGATTAAAAATGCTAAAGGATATTAATAATAACTTGTAATTCTAAATTACGAAATCAACAACAAATCAAGGTAATAATTAAATATCAGATAATATATATACTAACAATGAAAATAACTCACAAAACAATATTCTAGATTTAAATAAAATACACACCCGCAATTATAAAATGATCAAAATCAAATAATATGAAAAAAAACTAAAATGACTTAATAAAAAAAAACTTACAATACTAAAACATGAATAGATTAAAGTAAGATAGTTGGATCTCAAATATAAGCATAATTATTCATATAAACAAGTAAGGACGAAATTAAAATTATCAATAACTAATAGACTCAAAATGAAAATAATAAAAATTTCATTAATGACAAAATTAAAATAATACAAACCAAGAAATCTGCGTGAGAACCCTCTCCCTTCTTCTTTTTTTCCCTGATCAATTTAAAAGCCCCCCTCATTGATACATGCATTCGGCTTTCTTTTATAACCAAATTTACATTGATTTTATATTTTAAAATCATGCAACTTGATTGGTGTGATGATGCTTTGATTTTTTTAGCTTATCCTTTAGGCGATTTTCTCGATATATCACAGTTCACCACTTTTTTTCCTTATCAGGCATCGTTCAGACTATATTTCTTGATCTAACACCTTTTACAGAAAGGCGTGTCCCTTGCAGCATGCTTTACGTTGATTTGGTGCCACGTGGGGTAAAGCGCACCCTTGCAGCACGTCATATGCTAACGGGGTATACACGTGTGTAAAGGAGGTATAGCGCGGTGTAGGGGTCACGCCTTACTCCAGAATCTGTCACGCGTCACAAAGGCGCGCCTTAGCTATAATTACCCACCTACCCCGACGTTCCACACTTCAATCCCTCCCTATAAATATCTCAATCCTCAATCACTTTCATCACACTAAATTCTCTCAACTTCTCTCAATTTCTCTTATAATCTTTGTCTAAGGTGTATTTTATTATATTTTAAATATTTTATATTTAATTTATTTAAGTATTTAATTTATTTAATATTTTATTTAATTAATTTTTTTTACAGATATAAAATGGAAAACGGTCTACTTCGCTTGGATGAAAATCATATATCTCGACACTTTGCTGATACGGTAACATTTTAACGTTTTAATTTAATTAAAATTATTAGTAATAATTTGTTGATTTATTTAATGCATGATAATTAGATTAAGAATTAATTTTTGTAATTATTTAATTTTAGGAGAATGACCGTGTATTAGATCCTTTTATTAGGAATCTTAAGTTAGTGATACCTAGTCGTGTCTTGTCGTATTTAGTAGAGGCTGGATTCGGTTATATAGGTAGATATCAGGGTCACTGTAAGATAGAACCAGACCTTATTTCTGCCATAGTAGAGCGTTGGAGGCCGTAGACCCACACATTCCATCTTCCGTGCGGAGAGTGCACGATTACACTTGAGGATGTTGCTATGCATCTGGGGCTTCCGGTGGATGGAGATGTGATATCGGGGATCGCGTACGGTTCCTGGACTGCTTTGTGTCAGAATAATCTAGGACATGTCGGGGAAAGTTTTAACGGTGGTCGGATACCGTTAAATTGGCTAGACACCAATTTTCGGGAGTTGAACAAGGACGCCTCTGATGATGAAGTTAAAATGTATGCACGGGCATGCATACTGCAGCTGATAGGAGGGTTGCTGATGTCGGACAAATCACGCAACCAAGTTCACTGCATGTGGTTGAGACATCTTGTCGACTTTCGTCTGGCCGAATCATTCAGTTGGGGCTCGGCAGTTTTGGCTTTATTGTACAGGGAGATGTGTCGAGCCACTGACTACAAGAGAAATGCTATCGGCGGATGTCTCCTCCTGCTGCAGTCTTGGGCATGGTATCGATTGCCCTTTTTATGTCTCGTTGTCAAGAACACATTCGTATTTCCGCTACTCTTGAGGTAATTATAAAACTGATTTCGTATATTAATCATTTTATATAGCGTATAATAATTTTTTTCCTTGAATAGGTGGTCTACTGATAGGAAAAATCATCAGGAGCTACCTGATGATTTAGAGAAAATTAGGGTGCTAATCGATCATAAGACTGGCACACATGTATGAATTTTAATGTTTAAAAATTGATTTTAGATTATAGTTATATAAGTAGATTATTATTTTGATAAAAATTATATATATTTGTTTTAGTTTGAATGGGTGTCATATTCTAATGATAATGTGAGGACGGTGATCCCACCTGAGTTGAGGGGCCCATCAGATGTTTGGATGGCAATGATCCCTTTAATCTGTTATGCGACTGTTAAGTGGCATTCCACTGATCGCGTGCTCCAGCAATTTGGTTGTTTTCAACCAATTCCGGAAGCACCTCTCAATATGGATGAGTTGCATAGCACAGATAGACACGGCAAGACCGATACATATTGGCTGGTGAGGCATCATGAGTGGGTCGTATTGTGGGAGGATCGACATCGACGCCTTCCCCGTAGAGAGACCATTTATGTTGATTACTTAACGGTTGGTGATGATTATTATGAGTGGTTCAATAGAAACGAGAAACCGTTTTTGCTTCCCGATGATGCACGAGGGCGGACCTTTCCACGACGTCGATAGGGACGTTCACCGACACAACACCATCGTCCCCTGACTCGTGGACGGAGAGCAGGTGCTTCCGGTTTATCCTCAATTGCACCAGCATGAACTTCACAACACCCACCATCTACAGCGACTTACATACCGCAGTCATATGTTATACCGCCACCATTCCCTTACCCGATGCCGATGTCGCCACCATCACCTAGTTTTATGACACCGTCGCCGCCACCTTCACAGAGTTATATGACCCCTCATAGAGGCTATTATGGGTCTATGTTTGCATATTCGACTTAGGGTTCATATGCCTACATTTTGACAGGTTCAGCCTCATCACCCATGGCCGTAGCACAGACACCTCATGTACAATTTTCACACTCAGTGATGTCTAGGTTTTATGAGTTTTCTCAGTTTTCGCAGGCTGGTGGGATAGTCAGTCATACACCTCCAGAGTCCTTATTCTATGGAGGTACTTCATCGTCATCAGCTCCTCATCAACAA